TATTCAAATCATGGACTGCCATGCACGATCATCTTTGTCACAGTCCTAACTACCCTGCAGTCAGTTTCCAGCTCCTAATAACTTTAGACGAGCCCGCCGCAAGAAGAATCGCCCCCCTATAAGGGCGTTCGTGAGACCAGAAAGCTGCGAAATCCGCAGCGGTATAAAATGTGAAGCGGAGTTATTCAAATCATGGACCGCCATGCACGATCATCTTTGCCAGTGTCCTAAGTACCCTGCGGTCAGTTTCCAGCTCCTAATAACTTTAGACGAGCCCGCCGCGAGAAGAACCGCCCCCCCTATAAGGGCGTTCGTGAGACCAGAAAGCTGCGAACTCCGCTCCGGCATAAAATGTGAAGCGGAGTTATTCAAATCATGGACCGCCATGCACGATCATCTTTGCCAGTGTCCTAAGTACCCTGCGGTCAGTTTCCAGCTCCTAATAACTTTAGACGAGCCCGCCGCGAGAAGAACCGCCCCCCCTATAAGGGCGTTCGTGAGACCAGAAAGCTGCGAACTCCGCTCCGGCATAAAATGTGAAGCGGAGTTATTCAAATCATGGACCGCCATGCACGATCATATTTGCCACAGTCATAAGTACCCTGCGGTCAGTTTCCAGCTCCTAATAACTTTAGACGAGCCCGCCGCGAGAAGAACCGCCCCCCTATAAGGGCGTTCGTGAGACCAGAAAGCTGCGAAATCCGCTCCGGCATAAAATGTGAAGCGAAGTTATTCAAATCATGGACCTGTCAGATTTATATGACATAGCTACTGTAGGCTATAGCGGGGTAGCACATATGGGGTACAGTTTTTCTAGGGTTTACATTTGTACCCAACTTTCCCTTTGTCATTCTCATTCCTCGTTTCTTCTCATGGTATCGAGCAGGTTCCCTAGTGGGAACGATTCCTAGGGCCCACCACCACGATTTTTTTTTTTCCTGCCCGAAGCGCGCTTCGCTCCGGCCCGAGTCGCGCCCTGTGTGCTCTCCCTACCGTCGCGCCCTCGCTAGGCCCCTCACGGCCCCGTCGCGTCGCCCTTAGCGGCCCTCTCACGGCTCCCTAGTGCCGCCCTTACGGCCCGTCGCGCCGCCCTTACGGCCCGTCGCGCCCGTCGCGCCGCCCTTACGGCCCCTCGTGCCGCCCTTACGGCTCCTAACGCCGCCCTTACGGCCCAGCGAGCCGCCCCTTACGGCCCCTTACGGCCCCTCACGCTACCCTTCGGCCCCTCCCGCTGCCCGTCGGCCTCTTCAGGCCCCCCCCCTCGCGGCCCTTCGAGCCGCCTTCCGCGGCCTCCTCACCGCCCGTCGCCACCCTCGGCGGCCCCTCGTGGCCCTTCACGGCCTCTCTGCCGCCCTTCGCGGCCCCTAGCGGCCGGCCGCCCCCGTCTCTGAGGCAGCAGCCGCCGCCGTCTCTGCAGCAGCAGTCGCCACAGCTTCTGCGACTGCTGCCGCGGTCGTCACCAGCCACACCAGCCGTCGAGCCGCCCAGCAGCCGAGCAACCGAGCCGCCGCGCCGCCCAGCAGCCGAGCCGCCGAGCCGCCGAGCCGCCCAGCAGCCGAGCCGCCGAGCTGCCGAACCGCCCAGCAGCCGACCGCCGAGCCGCCCGGACCGCCGAGTCGCCGAGCCGCCCGAGCCGCCCGAGCCGCCCGAGCCGCCGAGTCGCCCGAGCCGCCCGAGCCGCCGGGCCGCCCGAGCCGCTGAGTCGCCGAGCCGCCGTACTGCCGAGCCGCCGAGCCGCCGAGCCGCCCGAGCCGCCCTGTCCGGTAAGAGCAGCGCCTCTATCACTGCACTGCCCTTACCCTACTGTTCGCGCTGCTAGTCTACTGCTGTCATGGCTACCCCTAGTGTCCTCGCCTTTGACGCTGAGGGTCGGGCCATTGACTTTGACGTCTGGATAGATGACCTGCAGCTTTTCTTACAGTGCGATAGGGCAGACGGTCTCTCCCTCTTTGACCTCACCTCTGGTGCCTCTCCTGCCCCTGCTGCTGATGCCGACGCCACTGTTCGCTCACAGTGGGCCACACGCGATGCTGCTGCACGTCTTGCTGTGCGTCGCCACCTGCCTACCTCTGAGCGTGCGCACTTTAGCCAGTACAAGAGTGCTCAGACCTTGTACGACGCTGTAGTTGCGCGCTACTCCTCCCCTGCCACTGCTGCACTGAGCCGCCTCATGCTACCGTACCTCTTCCCTGACCTTGCTGCCTTTCCCACAGTCGCTGACCTCATTACGCACCTCCGCACTAGTGACACTCGCTACCGCGCTGCGCTTCCTGCTGAGTTCTGCGCCAAGAACCCCCCCCCCATGTACATCACCCTCTACTACATAGTCACCCGGCTCCCTGACTCCCTTCGCGTAGTCAGGGACCACTTCCTCTCAGTTTGCCCCACCACTCTCACCGTTGACCTCCTCGAGAAGGCCCTACTAGCAGCAGAGAAGAGCATAGTCGCTGTAGGAGCCTCTCGTGGTGACCCTCGCACCCCCGTCTTTGAGGGATGTTCCCCCTCCCCCCTTTTGCCCTCTGTTGCCTGAGTCGGTCGGCGCTGCGTCTACCCTGAGCGGGAGACGCCGCCCCGGCAAGGGCAAGGGGGGCAAGGGTGCTGGAGGGGCTGGCGGGGGTAGCGGAGGTGGCGGTGGCGGCAGTGGAGGGGGTGGGGGTGGTGGTGGGAGTGGTGGCGCAATGCATCACTTTGACTGGTCCACTGCATTGGATGCCTCTTCTTTTGTACTAGTCCACTAGATTAGACTGTTTTTCTCCATTTCGTTCCATGTGGTTCTCAAAATTTGAGCGCCTGAACTTTGCGTGGTATGCCCAATAAAGGTGCGCATACTAACCTGACTACCCAACGCATCACTTTGACTGGTCCACTGCATTGGATGCATCTTCTTTTGTGCTAGTCCACTAGATTAGACTATTTTCCACGTCCACAACAAGTGTTTCCATTTAGTTCCATGTGGCTCTCAAAATTTGAGCTCCTGAACTATGCGTGGTACGCCCATTTTAGGTGCGCATACTAACCAGAGTACCCAGCACATCACTTTGACCGGTCCACTGCATTGGACGCCTCTTCTTTTGTGCTAGTCCAGTAGATTATACTACTTTCCACATCCATAACAAGTGTTTCTATTTCGTTCCATGTGGTTCTCAAAATTTGAGCGCCTGAACTATGCGTGGTACGCCCATTATAGGTGCGCATACTAACCAGACTGCCCAACGCATCACTTTGACTGGTCCACTGCATTGGATGCCTCTTCATTTGCGTTAGTCCACTAGATTAGACTTTTTTCCACATCCACAACAAGTGCTTCTATTTCGTTCCATGTGGTTCTCAAAATTTGAGCTCCTGAACTTTGCAGGTACGCCAACTATAGTTGCGCATACTGACCAGACTACCCAACGCATCACTTTGACTGGTCCACTGCATTGGATGCCTCTTCATTTGTGCTAGTCTACTAGATTGGACTATTTTCTACATCCGCAACAAGTGTTTCCATTTCGTTCCATGTGGTTCTCAAAATATGAGCGCATGAAGTATGCGTGGTACGCCCATTATAGGTGCGCATACTGACCAGACTACCCAACGCATCACTTTAACTGGTCCACTGCATTGGATGCCTCTTCTTTTGTGCTAGTCCACCTGATTAGACTATTTTCCACATCCACAACAATTTTATCCATTTCGTTCCATGTGGTTCTCAAAATTTGAGCGCCTGAACTCTGCCTAGTACGCCCATAATAGGTGCGCAAACTGACCAGACTGCCCAACGCATCACTTTGACTGGTCCACTGCACTGGATGTCTCTTCTTTTGTGCTACTCCACTAGATTAGACTATTTTCCACATCCACAACAAGTGTTTCTAATTCGTTCTATGTGGTTCTCAAGATTCGAGCGCCTGAACTATGTGTGGTACGCCCATTATAGGTGCGCATACTGACCAGACTGCCCAACGCATCTCTTTGACTGGTCCACTGCATTGGATGCCTTTTCTTTTGTGCTAGTCCACTAGGTTAGACTATTTTCCACATCCACAACAATTTGTTTGATTTCGTTTCATGTGGTTCTCAAAATTTGAGCTCCTAAACTCTGCCTGGTACGCCCATAATAGGTGCGCAAACTGACCAGACTGCCCAACGCATCACTTTGACTGGTCCACTGCATCGGATGCCTCTTCTTTTGTGCTAGTCCACTAGATTATACTATTTTCCACATCCACAACAAGTGTTTCCATTTCGTTCCATGTGCTCTCAAAATTTGAGCTCCTGAACTATGCGTGGTACGCCCATTATAGGTGCGCATACTGACCAGACTACCCAGCGCATCACTTTGACTGGTCCGTTGCATTGTATGCCTATTCTTTTGTGCTGGTCCACTAGATTAGACTATTTTCCACATCCACAACATTTTTTTCCACTTCGTTCCATGTGGCTATGAAAATTTGAGTGCCTGAACTCTGCCTGGTTCGCCCATTATAAGTGCGCATACTGACCAGACTGCCCAACGCATCACTTGACTGGTCCACTGCATTGGATGTCTCTTCTTTTGTGCTAGTCCACAATATTAGACTATTTTCCGCATCCACAACAATGTATTCCATTTCGTTCCATGTGGTTCTCAAAATTTGAGCGCCTGAACCCTGTGTGGTACGCCCATTATAGGTGCGCATACTGACCAGACTGCCCGACGCATCACTTTGACCGGTCCACTGCATTTGATGCCTCTTCATTTGCACTAGTCTACTAGATTAGACTATTTCCGCATCCACAACAAGTGTTTCCATTTTGTTCCACGTGGTTCTCAAAATTTGAGCGCCTGAACCATGCGTGGTACGCCCATTATAGGTGTGCATACTGACCAGACTGCCCAACGCATCACTTTGACTGGTCCACTGCATTGAATGCCTCTTCTTTTGCTCCAGTCCACTAGATTAGACTATTTTCCGCATCCACAAAAGTGTTTCCATCTCGTTCCATGTGGTTCTCAAAATTTGAGCACCTGAACCATGCGTGGTACGCCCATTATAGGTGCGCATACTGACCAGTCTACCCAACGTATCACATTGACTAGTCCGCTGCATTGGATGCCTCTTCTTTTGCGCTAGTCCACTAGATTAGACTATTTTCCGCATCCACAACAAGTGCTTCCATTTCGTTCCATGTGGTTCTCAAAATTGAGCGCCTGAACCCTGCCACATTCTCCCTCCTTCCATCACCCCACCCCATTCTCCCTCTTTCCATCACCCCGCCCCATTCTCCCTCTTTCCATCACCCTGCACCATTCTCCCGCTTTCCATCACCCCGCCCCATTCTCCCGCTTTCCATAACCCGCCCCATTCTCCCGCTTCCTATCACCCCGCCCCATTCTCCCGCTTTCCATCACCCCGCCCCATTCTCCCTCTTCCCATCACCCCGCTCCATTCTCCCGCTTTCCATCACCCCGTCTTAACCTCCCTCCTTCCATCACCCCGCCCCATTCTCCCTCTTTCCATCACCCCGCCCCATTCTCCCTCTTTCCATCACCCCGCCCCATTCTCCCGCTTCCCATCACCCCGCCCCGTTCTCCTGCTTTCCATCACCCCGCCCCGTTCTCCCGCTTTCCATCACCCCGCCCCATTCTCCCTCTTTCCATCACCCCGCCCCATTCTCCCGCTTTCCATTACCCCGCCCCATTCTCCCGCTTTCCATCACCCCACCCCATTCTCCCGCTTTCCATCACCCCGCCCCATTCTCCCTCTTTCCATCACCCCGCCCCTCTCATGCCTTCCCTCTCTCATGCCTTCCCCCTCTCAATGCCTTCCCCCTCTCATGCCTTCCCCCTCTCATGCCTTCCCCCTCTCATGCCTTCCCCCTCTCATGCCTTCCCCTCTCATTGCCTTCCCTCTCTCATGCCTTCCCCCTCTCATGCCTTCCCCCTCTCATGCCTTCCCCCTCTCATGCCTTCCCCCTCTCATGCCTTCCCCCTCTCATGCCTTCCCCCTCTCATGCCTTCCCCCTCTCATGCCTTCCCCCTCTCATGCCTTCCCCCTCTCATGCCTTCCCCCTCTCATGCATTCCCCCTCTCATGCCTTTCCCCTCTCATGTCTTCCCCCTCTCATGCCTTCCCCCTCTCATGCCTTCCCCCTCTCATGCCTTCCCCCTCTCATTCCTTCCCCCTCTCATGCCTTCCCCCTCTCATGCCTTCCCCTTCGCATGCTTTCCCCCTGTCATGCCTTCCCCCTCTCATGCCTTCCCCCTCTCATGCCTCCCCCCTCTCATGCCTTCCCCCTCTCATGCCTTCCCCCTCTCATGCCTTCCCCTTCTCATGCCTTCCCCCTCTCATGCCTTCCCCCTCTCATGCCTTCCCCCTCTCATGCCTTCCCCCTCTCATGCCTTCCCCCTCTCATGCCTTCCCCCTCTCATGCCTTCCCCCTCTCATGCCTTCTCCCTCTCATGCCTTCCCCCTCTCATGCCTTCCCCCTCTCATGACTTCCCCCCCTCATGCCTTCCCCCTCTCATGCCTTCCCCCTCTCATGCCTTCCCCCTCTCATGCCTTCCCCCTCTCATGCCTTTTCCCTCTCATGCCTTCCCCCTCTCATGCCTTCCCCCTCTCATGCCTTCCCCCTCTCATGCCTTCCCCCTCTCATGCCTTCCCCCTCTCATGCCTTCCCCCTCTCATGCCTTCCCCCTCGCATGCCTTCCCCCTCTCATGCCTTCCCCCTCTCATGCCTTCCCCCTCTCATGCCTTCCCCCTCTCATGCCTTCCCCCTCTCATGCCTTCCCCCTCTCATGCCTTCCCCCTCTCATGCCTTCCCCCTCTCATGCCTCTCATGCCTTCCCCCTCTCATGCCTTCCCCCTCTCATGCCTTCCCCCTCTCATGCCTTCCCCCTCTCATGCCTTCCCCCTCTCATGCCTTCCCCCTCTCATGCCTTCCCCCTCTCATGCCTTCCCCCTCTCATGCCTTCCCCCTCTCATGCCTTCCCCCTCTCATGCCTTCCCCCTCTCATGCCTTCCCCCTCTCATGCCTTCCCCCTCTCATGCCTTCCCCCTCTCATGCCTTCCCCCTCTCATGCCTTCCCCCTCTCATGCCTTCCCCCTCTCATGCCTTCCCCCTCTCATGCCTTCCCCCTCTCATGCCTTCCCCCTCTCATGCCTTCCCCCTCTCATGCCTTCCCCCTCTCATGCCTTCCCCCTCTCATGCCTTCCCCCTCTCATGCCTTCCCCCTCTCATGCCTTCCCCATCTCATGCCTTCCCCCTCTCATGCCTTCCCCCTCTCATGCCTTCCCCCTCTCATGCCTTCCCCCTCTCATGCCTTCCCCCTCTCATGCCTTCCCCTCTCATGCCTCCCCCCTCTCATGCCTTCCCCCTCTCATGCCTTCCCCCTCTCATGCCTTCCCCCTCTCATGCCTTCCCCTCTCATGCCTTCCCCCTCTCATGCCTTCCCCTCTCATGCCTTCCCCCTCTCATGCCTTCCCCCTCTCATGCCTTCCCCCTCTCATGCCTTCCCCCTCTCATGCCTCCCCCTCTCATGCCTTCCCCCTCTCATGCCTTCCCCCTCTCATGCCTTCCCCCTCTCATGCCTTCCCCCTCTCATGCCTTCCCCCTCTCATGCCTTCCCCCTCTCATGCCTTCCCCCTCTCATGCCTTCCCCTCTCATGCCTTCCCCCTCTCATGCCTTCCCCCTCTCATGCCTTCCCCCTCTCATGCCTTCCCCCTCTCATGCCTTCCCCCTCTCATGCCTTCCCCCTCTCATGCCTTCCCCCTCTCATGCCTTCCCCCTCTCATGCCTTCCCCCTCTCATGCCTTCCCCCTCTCATGCCTTCCCCCTCTCATGCCTTCCCCCTCTCATGCCTTCCCCCTCTCATGCCTTCCCCCTCTCATGCCTTCCCCCTCTCATGCCTTCCCCCTCTCATGCCTTCCCCTCTCATGCCTTCCCCCTCTCATGCCTTCCCCCTCTCATGCCTTCCCCCTCTCATGCCTTCCCCTCTCATGCCTTCCCCCTCTCATGCCTTCCCCCTCTCATGCCTTCCCCCTCTCATGCCTTCCCCCTCTCATGCCTTCCCCCTCTCATGCCTTCCCCTCTCATGCCTTCCCCCTCTCATGCCTTCCCCCTCTCATGCCTTCCCCCTCTCATGCCTTCCCCCTCTCATGCCTTCCCCCTCTCATGCCTTCCCCCTCTCATGCCTTCCCCCTCTCATGCCTTCCCCCTCTCATGCCTTCCCCTCTCATGCTTCCCCCTCTCATGCCTTCCCCCTCTCATGCCTTCCCCCTCTCATGCCTTCCCCCTCTCATGCCTTCCCCCTCTCATGCCTTCCCCCTCTCATGCCTTCCCCCTCTCATGCCTTCCCCCTCTCATGCCTTCCCCCTCTCATGCCTTCCCCCTCTCATGCCTTCCCCCTCTCATGCCTTCCCCCTCTCATGCCTTCCCCCTCTCATGCCTTCCCCCTCTCATGCCTTCCCCCTCTCATGCCTTCCCCCTCTCATGCCTTCCCCCTCTCATGCCTTCCCCCTCTCATGCCTTCCCCCTCTCATGCCTTCCCCCTCTCATGCCTTCCCCCTCTCATGCCTTCCCCCTCTCATGCCTTCCCCCTCTCATGCCTTCCCCCTCTCATGCCTTCCCCCTCTCATGCCTTCCCCCTCTCATGCCTTCCCCCTCTCATGCCTTCCCCCTCTCATGCCTTCCCCCTCTCATGCCTTCCCCCTCTCATGCCTTCCCCCTCTCATGCCTTCCCCCTCTCATGCCTTCCCCCCTCTCATGCCTTCCCCCTCTCATGCCTTCCCCCTCTCATGCCTTCCCCCTCTCATGCCTTCCCCCTCTCATGCCTTCCCCCTCTCATGCCTTCCCCCTCTCATGCCTTCCCCCTCTCATGCCTTCCCCCTCTCATGCCTTCCCCCTCTCATGCCTTCCCCCTCTCATGCCTTCCCCCTCTCATGCCTTCCCCCTCTCATGCCTTCCCCCTCTCATGCCTTCCCCCTCTCATGCCTTCCCCCTCTCATGCCTTCCCCCTCTCATGCCTTCCCCCTCTCATGCCTTCCCCCTCTCATGCCTTCCCCCTCTCATGCCTTCCCCCTCTCATGCCTTCCCCCTCTCATGCCTTCCCCCTCTCATTGCCTTCCCCCTCTCATGCCTTCCCCCTCTCATGCCTTCCCCCTCTCATGCCTTCCCCCTCTCATGCCTTCCCCTCTCATGCCTTCCCCCTCTCAGGCCTTCCCCCTCTCATGCCTTCCCCCTCTCATGCCTTCCCCCTCTCATGCCTTCCCCCTCTCATGCCTTCCCCCTCTCATGGCCTTCCCCCTCTCATGCCTTCCCCCTCTCATGCCTTCCCCCTCTCATGCCTTCCCCCTCTCATGCCTTCCCCCTCTCATGCCTTCCCCCTCTCATGCCTTCCCCCTCTCAATGCCTTCCCCCCTCTCATGCCTTCCCCTCTCATGCCTCCCCCTCTCATGCCTTCCCCCTCTCATGCCTTCCCCCTCTCATGCCTTCCCCCTCTCATGCCTTCCCCCTCTCATGCCTTCCCCCTCTCATGCCTTCCCCCTCTCATGCCTTCCCCCTCTCATGCCTTCCCCCTCTCATGCCTTCCCCCTCTCATGCCTTCCCCCTCTCATGCTTCCCCCTCTCATGCCTTCCCCCTCTCATGCCTTCCCCCTCTCATGCCTTCCCCTCTCATGCCTTCCCCCTCTCATGCCTTCCCCCTCTCATGCCTTCCCCCTCTCATGCCTTCCCCCTCTCATGCCTTCCCCCTCTCATGCCTTCCCCCTCTCATGCCTTCCCCCTCTCATGCCTTCCCCCTCTCATGCCTTCCCCCTCTCATGCCTTCCCCCTCTCATGCCTTCCCCCTCTCATGCCTTCCCCTCTCATGCCTCCCCCTCTCATGCCTTCCCCCTCTCATGCCTTCCCCCTCTCATGCCTTCCCCCTCTCATGCCTTCCCCCTCTCATGCCTTCCCCTCTCATGCTTCCCCCTCTCATGCCTTCCCCCTCTCATGCCTTCCCCCTCTCATGCCTTCCCCCTCTCATGCCTTCCCCCTCTCATGCCTTCCCCCTCTCATGCCTTCCCCCTCTCATGCCTTCCCCCTCTCATGCCTTCCCCCTCTCATGCCTTCCCCCTCTCATGCCTTCCCCCTCTCATGCCTTCCCCCCCTCTCATGCCTTCCCCCTCTCATGCCTTCCCCCTCTCATGCCTTCCCCCTCTCATGCCTTCCCCCTCTCATGCCTTCCCCCTCTCATGCCTTCCCCCTCTCATGCCTTCCCCCTCTCATGCCTTCCCCCTCTCATGCATTCCCCCTCTCATGCCTTCCCCTCTCATGCTCTCCCCCTCCTCATGCCTTCCCCCTCTCATGCCTTCCCCCTCTCATGCCTTCCCCCTCTCATGCCTCCCCCTCTCATGCCTTCCCCCTCTCATGCCTTCCCCCTCTCAATGCTTCCCCCTCTCATGCCTCCTCCTCTCTCATGCCTTCCCCCTCTCATGCTTCCCCCTCTCATGCCTTCCCCCTCTCATGCCTTCCCCCTCTCATGCTTCCCCCTCTCATGCCTTTCCCCCTCTCATGCCTTCCCCCCTCTCATGCCTTCCCCTCTCATGCCTTCCCCTCTCATGCCTTCCCCCTCTCATGCCTTCCCCCTCTCATGCCTTCCCCCTCTCATGCCTTCCCCCTCTCTATGCCTTCCCCCTCTCATGCCCTTCCCCCTCTCATGCCTTCCCCCTCTCATGCCTTCCCCCCTCTCATGCCTTCCCCCTCTCAATGCCCTTCCCCCTTCTCATGCCTTCCCCTCTCATGCCTTCCCCCTCTCATGCCTTCCCCCTCTCATGCCTTCCCCCTCTCATGCCTTCCCCCTCTCATGCCTTCCCCCTCTCATGCCTTCCCCCTCTCATGCCTTCCCCCTCTCATGCCTTCCCCCTCTCATGCCTTCCCCCCTCTCATGCCTCCCCCCTCTCATGCCTTCCCCCTCTCATGCCTTCCCCCTCTCATGCCTTCCCCCTCTCATGCCTTCCCCCTCTCATGCCTTCCCCCTCTCATGCCTCCCCCTCTCATGCCTTCCCCCTCTCATGCCTTCCCCCTCTCATGCCTTCCCCCTCTCATGCCTTCCCCTCTCATGCCCCCCCCTCCCATGCCTCCCCCCTCTCATGCCTTCCCCCTCTCATGCCTTCCCCCTCTCATGCCTTCCCCCTCTCATGCCTTCCCCCTCTCATGCCTTCCCCCTCTCATGCCTTCCCCCTCTCATGCCTCCCCCTCTCATGCCTCCCCCCTCTCATGCCTTCCCCCTCTCATGCCTTCCCCCTCTCATGCCTTCCCCCTCTCATGCCTTCCCCCTCTCATGCCTTCCCCCTCTCATGCCTCCCCCTCTCATGCCTTCCCCCTCTCATGCCTTCCCCCTCTCATGCCTTCCCCCTCTCATGCCTTCCCCCCTCTCATGCCTTCCCCCTCTCATGCCTCCCCCCCTCTCATGCCTTCCCCCTCTCATGCCTTCCCCCTCTCATGCCTTCCCCCTCTCATGCCTTCCCCCTCTCATGCCTTCCCCCTCTCCATGCCTTCCCCCTCTCATGCTTCCCCCTCTCATGCCTTCCCCCTCTCATGCCTTCCCCCTCTCATGCCTTCCCCCTCTCATGCCTTCCCCCTCTCATGCCTTCCCCCTCTCATGCCTTCCCCCTCTCATGCCTTCCCCCTCTCATGCCTTCCCCCTCTCATGCCTTCCCCCTCTCATGCCTTCCCCCTCTCATGCCTTCCCCCTCTCATGCCTTCCCCCTCTCATGCCTTCCCCCTCTCATGCCTTCCCCCTCTCATGCCTTCCCCCTCTCATGCCTTCCCCCTCTCATGCCTTCCCCCTCTCATGCCTTCCCCCTCTCATGCCTTCCCCCTCTCATGCCTTCCCCCTCTCATGCCTTCCCCCTCTCATGCCTTCCCCCTCGCATGCCTTCCCCCTCTCATGCCTTCCCCCTCTCATGCCTTCCCCCTCTCATGCCTTCCCCCTCTCATGCCTTCCCCCTCTCATGCCTTCCCCCTCTCATGCCTTCCCCCTCTCATGCCTTCCCCCTCTCATGCCTCTCATGCCTTCCCCCTCTCATGCCTTCCCCCTCTCATGCCTTCCCCCTCTCATGCCTTCCCCTTCTCATGCCTTCCCCCTCTCATGCCTTCCTCCTCTCATGCCTTCCCCCTCTCATGCCTTCCCCCTCTCATGTTTTCCCCCTCTCATGCCTTCCCCTTCTCATGCCTTCCCCCTCTCATGCCTTCCCCCCTCTCATGCCTTCCCCCTCTCATGCCTTCCCCCTCTCATGCCTTCCCCCTCTCATGCCTTCCCCCTCTCATGCCTTCCCCCTCTCATGCCTTCCCCCTCTCATGCCTTCCCCCTCTCATGCCTTCCCCCTCTCATGCCTTCCCCCTCTCATGCCTTCCTCCTCTCATGCCTTCCCCCTCTCATGCCTTCCCCCTCTCATGCCTTCCCCCTCTCATGCCTTCCCCCTCTCATGCCTTCCCCCTCTCATGCCTTCCCCCTCTCATGCCTTCCCCCCTCTCATGCCTTCCCCCTCTCATGCCTTCCCCCTCTCATGCCTTCCCCCTCTCATGCCTTCCCCCTCTCATGCCTTCCCCCTCTCATGCCTTCCCCCTCTCATGCCTTCCCCCTCTCATGCCTTCCCCCTCTCATGCCTTCCCCCTCTCATGCCTTCCCCCTCTCATGCCTTCCCCCTCTCATGCCTTCCCCTCTCATGCCTTCTCTCTCTCATGCCTTCCCCCTCTCATGCCTTCCCCCTCTCATGCCTTCCCCCTCTCATGCCTTCCCCCTCTCATGCCTTCCCCCTCTCATGCCTTCCCCCTCTCATGCCTTCCCCCTCTCATGCCTTCCCCTCTCATGCCTTCCCCTCTCATGCCTTCCCCTCTCATGCCTTCCCCCTCTCATGCCTTCCCCCTCTCATGCCTTCCCCCTCTCATGCCTTCCCCCTCTCATCCCTTCCCCCTCACATGCCTTCCCCCTCTCATGCCTTCCCCCTCTCATGCCTTCCCCCTCTCATGCCTTCCCCCTCTCATGCCTCCCCCCTCTCATGCCTCCCCCCTCTCATGCCTTCCCCCTCTCATGCCTTCCCCCTCTCATGCCTTCCCCCTCTCATGCCTTCCCCCTCTCATGCCTTCCCCCTCTCATGCCTCCCCCCTCTCATGCCTTCCCCCTCTCATGCCTTCCCCCTCTCATGTCTTCCCCCTCTCATGCCTTCCCTCTCTCATGCCTCCCCCCTCTCATGCCTCCCCCCTCTCATGCCTTCCCCCTCTCATGCCTTCCCCCTCTCATGCCTTCCCCCTCTCATGCCTCCCCCCTCTCATGCCTTCCCCCTCTCATGCCTCCCCCCTCTCATGCCCCCCCCCTCTCATGCCTTCCCCCTCTCATGCCTTCCCCCTCTCATGCCTTCCCCTCTCATGCCTTCCCCCTCTCATGCCTTCCCCCTCTCATGCCTTCCCCCTCTCATGCCTTCCCCCTCTCATGCCTTCCCCCTCTCATGCCTTCCCCCTCTCATGCCTTCCCCCTCTCATGCCTTCCCCCTCTCATGCCTTCCCCCTCTCATGCCTTCCCCCTCTCATGCCTCCCCCCTCTCATGCCTTCCCCCTCTCATGCCTTCCCCCTCTCATGCCTTCCCCCTCTCATGCCTTCCCCCTCTCATGCCTTCCCCCTCTCATGCCTTCCCCCTCTCATGCCTTCCCCCTCTCATGCCTTCCCCCTCTCATGCCTTCCCCCTCTCATGCCTCCCCCCTCTCATGCCTTCCCCCTCTCATGCCTTCCCCCTCTCATGCCTTCCCCCTCTCATGCCTTCCCCCTCTCATGCCTTCCCCCTCTCATGCCTTCCCCTTCTCATGCCTTCCCCCTCTCATGCCTTCCCCCTCTCATGCCTTCCCCCTCTCATGCCTTCCCCCTCTCATGCCTTCCCCCTCTCATGCCTTCCCCCTCTCATGCCTTCCCCCTCTCATGCCTTCCCCCTCTCATGCCTTCCCCCTCTCATGCCTTCCTCCTCTCATGCCTTCCCCCCCTCATGCCTTCCCCCTCTCATCCCTTCCCCCTCTCATGCCTTCCCCCTCTCATGCCTTCCCCCTCTCATGCCTTCCCCCTCTCATGCCTTCCCCCTCTCATGCCTTCCCCCTCTCATGCCTTCCCCCTCTCATGCCTTCCCCCTCTCATGCCTTCCCCCTCTCATGCCTTCCCCCTCTCATGCCTTCCCCCTCTCATGCCTTCCCCCTCTCATGCCTTCCCCCTCTCATGCCTTCCCCCTCTCATGCCTTCCCCCTCTCATGCCTTCCCCCTCTCATGCCTCCCCCCCAAATGTTTGACTGGCCTCACTTTGGCACCGCGGTCATTGACGTCTGGCTCCTCGCACTCTGGTGAGACCCGCGCCCCCTATCCAGAGCAGTGCGCACATTGCAGTGCAATCCAACGCAACTGCAAGGCTGGTCATGTCACAGATTTGGGCAGCTATGCACCCTGTGCGTGCCCACCTGCCTGTGCGTGCCCACCTGCCTGTCCGTGCCCACCTGCCTGTGCGTGCCCACCTGCCTGTGCGTGCCCACCTGCCTGTGCGTGCCCACCTGCCTGTGCGTGCCCACCTGCCTGTGCGTGCCCACTTGCCTGTGCGTGCCCACCTGCCTGTGCGTGCCCACCTGCCTGTGCGTGCCCACCTGCCTGTGCGTGCCCACCTGCCTGTGCGTGCCCACCTGCCTGTGTGTGCCCACCTGCCTGTGCGTTTCTCTCTGGCAGCGACTCCTTTCTGGTGACGGAGGGATCAACACTGGGCATGGTGGCGGCGGGACTGGCGGGCGTGTTGTTTTGAGGCGCCTCACAACATGCTCACCTGCCTGTGCATGTCCCTCCACCCCTCTGCACGTTGTGCCCGCTTGCTTGTGCTCACTTGCCTGCCAGCGACTCGTTCCTGGTGACGGAGGGGTCAACACTAGGCATGGTGGCGGCGGGGCTGGCGGGCGCCACGCCTTACATGATGAACGTCATGCTCGACACCTCCACCGGCCATGACTGGCGCTCCAATGGCCGCCCCGAGTGCCAGCTCGGTGGGCCGGAGCCGTGCCTCAAGACGCACCACGGGCACGCTCAGGTGGGGTGGACAGGGCAGGGCACTCGCAGGTGGGCAGGGCACTCGCAGGTGGGCAGGGCACTCGCAGGTGGGCAGGGCACTCGCAGGTGGGCAGGGCGGGGCACTCGCAGGTGGGCAGGGCATGCTTTAGGCACGCACCATGTGATGGCTGCAGACACATACCATGCTGCCCAGTTCTTATGCTCTTCCTTTTCTCTGCACTTGTCTCCACCGCCCGCTGTCCTCTCCATTCCGTCGTTTGCATCTGCGTTCTTTGTACACGTGCCTTGTTTCCACTGGCCTGTCCTTTACTCCTTTGAAAGGGGTCCTTCCGCTGTTCTTCACGCACCGTGCCTGCCTTTCTCCCTCTGCACTTCCCGTCTCTGCTTGCCTCCGTCGCAGTGTTTCAGCTCCAATGGCTCTCACTACGGGCCTCCACTGCAACTGTGCCACGGGACAGGCAGAGGATTCACCCTTGTGCCACCTGAATCGCCCCCACTATTGTTCAAGGCATGGCTTCAAAGTGTCAGGGAGGACTCAGCAGCTGTCACATGAATGAATGGATCTCACTTTACAGCCAGTAGGCAATAGTGCCTCCCTTACTGTACCTCTTAGGATTTGGAAATTTAATGCATGCAGTAGAAATTGAAGGACTGCCTGATTTATCAAGGCCTTCATTTTAATTTCCGCGTGAAATAGAGTGTATCCCTGTCACTATCCCTGTCCCTGCCCCCCATGCTCCCACCCCTGCTGTCCCACCCCATGCTCCCTTGGTCCCCCATTCCTCAATCCGGTCCCCCATTCCTCAATCCGGTCCCCCATTCCTCAATCCGGTCCCCCATTCCTCAATCCGGTCTCCCTGTCCTCAATCCGGTCCCCCATTCCTCAATCCAGTCCCCCATTTCTCTATCCGGTTCCCCATTCCTCTATCCGGTTCCCCATTCCTCAATCCGGTCCACCATTCCTCCTTCCGGTTCCCCATTCCTCTATCCGGTTCCCCATTTCTATCCCAACCTCCCCCCCTCCTCTGCCCACCCGCGTTCATTTGAAACTTTTTCCAAGCTTCCTGCACAAGTCTTCCAGCTCCCTCTGCCCAGTCAGAAATACCAACCTCTTCCTGGAGGCCAGATTATGCTGGGTCGGATCGGAATGATACAAATAGGCAGTGTGGCAGAGCACTCAACTGGATGCAACGAGGGAAGAGAAAGGGAAAGGTTACACCCAAATTATGGGATCGGAAAGGTTATAACCAAGTGTTGTTGAAGTAGAAGGCTTAATCTAGTGAACAGACAAGAATATGATATTAACTGCATTTCTTAAAACATAAGTAATGCGCTGGTCAGTTTGGTCGGTATGCGCGCCTGTAGTGCAGGTACCATCTACGACTGGAATGCCAATATCTGCCAAATTACATGGATCTGATAGGTTAAAACATGGTAGGGGGTAGGGAATGGTAAAATTTAAAGGAAATGGGAATACATATGGTATTCACTGTATTTGTACAGAGAGAATAATGCGTCGGCCGGTAAGGTCAGTATGAACGCTTGTGTGTAGGTACAAGGCGGAGCTCGAACTCTGAAATCTCCCAAACTATGTGGATCGTAAAGGTAATAACCTAGTGTTCTTGAAGTAGAAGGCCTAATCTAGTGGACTGGCAAGAATATGACACTAACTGCATCTCTACAAACATACGTAATGCGCTGGTCAGTTTGGTCGGTATGCACGTCTGTAGTGCAGGTACCATGTACGACTGGAATGTCTATATCTTCCAAATTGCATAGATCCGATAGGTTAAAATATGGTAGGGGGGTGGGGAATGGTATCATTTAAAGTAAGTGGGAATACAGATGGTATTTGCTGTATTTGTACAGAAAGAATAATGTGTCGGCCGGTAAGGTCAGTATGCACGCTTGCGTGTAGGTACAAGGCGGAGCTGAAACTCTGAAATCTCCCAAATTATGTGGATCAAAAATGTTATAACCGAGTGTTGTTGAAGTAGAAGGCTTAATCTAGTGGACAGGCAAGAATATGGCACTAACTAAATCTCTACAAACATACGTAATGCGCTGGACAGTTTGGTCGGTATGCGCGCCTGTAGTGCAGGTACCATGTACGACTGAAATGTCTTTATCTGCCGAATTACATAGATCCGAGTTAAAACATGGTAGGGGGGTAAGAAAGGGTATCATTTAAAGGAAATGGGAATACATACGGTACTTACTATATTTGTACGGAGATAAAAATGCGTCGGCCGGTAAGGTCAGGATGCACTCTTGTGTGTAGGTATAAGGCGGAACTGGAACTCTGAAATCTCCCAAACTATGTGGATCGGAAAAGGTTTTATCCTAGTGTTTTTGAAGTAGAAGGCCTAAACTAGTGGACATGCAAGAATATGGTACTAACTGCATATCTAGTGTTTTTGAAGTAGAAGGCCTAATCTAGTGGACATGCAAGTAATGCGCTGTTCAGTTTGGTCGGTATGCGCGCCGGTAGTGCAGGTACCATGTACGACTGGAATGTCTATATCTGCTAAATTACATAGATCCGATAGGTTAAAACATGGTAGGGGGGTGGGGAATGGAATTATCTAAACGAAATGGGAATACTTATGGTATTCACTATATTTGTACAGAGAGAATAATACGTCGGCAGGTAAGGTCAGTATGCACGCTTGTGTGTAGGTACAAGGTGGAGCTGGAACTCTGAAATCTCCCAAATTATGTGGATCGAAAAGGTTATAACCAAGTGTTGTTGAAGTAGAAGTCCTAATCTAGTGAACTGACAAGAATATGGTACTAACTACATTTCTAGAAACATAAGTAATGCGCTGGTCAGTTTGGTCGGTATGCGCGCCAGCAGTGCAGGTACCATGTACGACTGGAATGTCAATATTTGTCAAATTACATAGATCCGATAGGTTAAAACATGGTAGGGGGGTGGGGAATGGTATAATTTAAAGGAAATGGGAAAACATATGGTATTCACTGTATCTGTACAGAGAGAATAATGCGTCGGCTGGTAAGGTCAGTATGCAAGCTTATGTGTAGGTACAAGGCGGAGCTAGAACTCTGAAATCTCCCAAATTATGTGGATCGGAAAGGTTATAACCAAGTGTTGTTGAAATAGAACGCCTAATCTAGTGAACTGACATGAATATGATACTAACTGCATTTCTAGAAACATAAGTAATGCGCTGGTCAGTTTGGTCGGTATGCGCGCCTGTAGTGCAGGTACCATGAACGACTGGAATGTCTATATCTGCCAAATTACATAGATCCGATAGGTTAAAACATGGTAGGGGGGTGGGGAATTGTATAATTTGAAGTAAATGGGAATCAATATGGTATTTGCTATATTTGTACAGAAAGAATAATGCGTCGGCCGGTAAGGTCAGTATGCACGCTTGTGTATAGGTACAAGGCGGAGCTGGAACTCTGAAATCTCCCAAACTATGTGGATCGGAAAGGTTATAACCTAGTCTTGTTGAAGTAGAAGGCCTAATCTAGTGGACTGGCAAGAATATGGCCATAACTGCATCTCTACAAACATACGTAATGCGCTGGTCAGTTTGGTCGGTATGCGCGCCTGTAGTGCAGGTACCATGTACGACAAAAATGTCATTATCTGCCAATTTACATAGATCCGATAGGTTAAACCATGGTAGGAGGGTGGGGAATGGTATCATTTAAAGGAAATGGGAAAACATATGGTATTCACTGTATTTGTACGGAGAGAATAATGTGTCGGCTGGTAAGGTCAGGATGCACGCTTGTGTGTAGGTACAAGGCGGAACTGGAACTCTGAAATTTGGGGATAGAAGCGCTCCTTCCAAGCGTTTTTCTTCTGCCAAGTCACGTGGCTGCGCTTGTCTGGTCCTCTTGCCAAGCCAGCAAGGGCGTGGGAGGGTTGCGAGCAGCATCGTTCATTGGCGCTCACGAATGAAGAGCACCCGCTGCACTTCCTGCACGTGTGCGGTTCCTTCCGCGTTTTGGTGGTGAAAGCGCTTGTTCCGAGCGTTTTTCTTCCTCTGGGTCACGTGGCTGCGCTTGTCTGGTCCTACTGCAAAGCCAGCAAGGGCGTGGGAGGGTTGCGAGCATCATCGGTCATCGGCGCTCGCGAATGAAGAGCGCACGCGCACTTCCTACACGTGTGCGGATCCTTTTGCGCTTTGGTGGTAGAATCGCTCATTCCAAGCGTTTTTCTTCCAAGTCACGTGGCTGCGCTTATCTTGTCCTCTTGCCAAGCCAGGAAGGGCGTGGGAGGGTTGCGAGCATCATCGGTCATCGGCGCTCGCGAATGAAGAGCGTCCGCTGCACTTCGTGCACATGTGCGGAACCTTCCGCGTTTTGGGGGTACTAGCGCTCGTTCCGAGCGTTTTTCTTCCGCCAGCTCACGTGGCTGCGCTTGTCTGGTCCTATTGCCAAGCCAGCAATGGCGTGGGAGGGTTGCGAGCATCATTGGTCGTCGGAGCTCGCGAATGAAGAGCGCCCGCTGCACTTCCGGCAAGCGTGCGGATCCTTCCGCGTTTTGAGGGTGGAAGCGCTCGTTTCGAGCGTTTTTCTTCAGCCGGTTCACATGGCTGCGCTTGTCTGGTCCTATTGCCAAGCCAGCAAGGGCGTGGGAGGGTTGCGAGCATCATCGGTCATTGGCGCTCGCGAATGAAGAGCGCTTGCTGCACTTCCTGCCCGCGTTCCAATCCTTCCGCGTTTTGAGGGTGGGGGCGCTCGTTTCGAGCGTTTTTCTTCCGCCGGGTCACGTGGCTGCGCTTGTCTGGTCCTCTTGCCAAGCCAGCAAGGGCGTGGGAGGGTTGCGAGCAGCATCGTTCATTGGCGCTCACGAATGAAGAGCGCCCGCTGCACTTCCTGCACGCGTGCGGATCCTTCCGCATTTTGAGGTTGGAAGCGCTCGTTCCGAGCGTTTTTCTTTCGCCGGGTCACGTGGC